TTGACAAAAGCGGTGTCTACAGGGGGTTCCCTCTTCACCTATGCCTTCCCAGCTCTGTGGATGTGATTGCAGTTGGCTGCAATCTCACCTGGTCTGGAGGTCATGTGCTCTTTGTGTGCATCATGTGTAGTGACCAGAACTACTGTCATGCCCAGGATATGTAGGTGTAGTGTTGCCACCTGCAAAATACATGTTCAGGTGCTGCTGTGTGTGGATGGTAGCTCACCCAGGAGTTGTAGCCTCCAAGGTGAGGGGTTAAGTGGTTTTCTGGCACTATGGACGTCATCTGGGAGGTGATGGTGGTGATGCACAACACACATCATCATTGTTCTTGAGAACTTGACTCATGTTCTGGGTGAGTCTGAGCCATAGCTGACTGGCAGCCCTCTGTCAACCCAAAACTGGATGAATAAGAACATATTGAGCCACACATGGTGGGAATACACTTATGGTTAGCACATAAATGCGTGTAAGTGAGACTAATGTTTTATTACTAAATTTGTCTGGAGTCACTTGTAGTTGGATGGGACTTCTTGCCTAGCATGTTCTTTGCGTTCTTGGCACGTTTGCTGTGTTTTCATTGGGAAGCCTTGCAGCTTTTCTCAAGATACTGCCATGGGAGGGTCTGTGTTCTTGTGTCTATCCTTGAACTGCTGTACAGGGAGCTCTGAGTGCACCCAGCACAAGTTGGTAGGTTGAGGAGCAGCAGCACAGCCTTTCAGACTGTGCTATGGAAGCATCTCTAGTTTCATGTTCTCTATATGCTCTATTTCATTGTCCTGTGTGTGGCCCAGTTATGATCTTAGAGGTTCTTTTGCTGGCAAAAGAGGGGTAAAAACGAGAAAGCACCTTCATAGTGCAATTTGTAGGGTGCCCAACTTGGCCTCTGGGCAGGAAGAGTTGCAGGAAGAGAAGGCCAGGTTGGACACAGGGACTTGGAGCAACCTGCTCTAGTGGAAGGTGTCCCTGCCTGTGGCAGGGGGTTGGAACTGGAGGAGCTTTAATGTCCCTTCCAACCCAAACCAGGCTGGGATTCCCTGATGGCTGAGCAGATCCTGCAGTGACACTGAATTGTGCAACTGCTGTCGACAACAAGATTTTGGTTTCTGCCACCACTGAACTGTCTTTCAGGACTGATGACTCCTTCAGAGAGATAGGATCCATTTGACTAAGTAGGCAAATGTTTCCTTGCCAACATGGTCAACCTGCTAAGAACAACTTTATGTGGGAATGATGGGGTGGGTAGGGAGAGATTCCTCTTGAGTGAAGTGGTGGATGGGGAAAGCAAGCAAAAAAAGCCTGGGGTTGTGTGAACAGAAGAGAAATCAACAGAAAAAGGATGGAATGGGAACACCCCAAGCATGGGCACATGAAGAAGGAAGTGCCTATAGGACAGCTTTGTGGGGAAAGCTCTCCTGCCCTGCATGGGGGAGTCATCACTTGGGTGCTTCTCTGAAATGCCTGTAACCAGTGTGTGCAACATGGGGAGCAGACAAGGGAGCAAGCAGTCTGTGGGTAGTTACACGACTGTGGTCTTACTGGGTCAGGGATAGCTCACATAACTAGAGTGCTGGGGTGGATGGATACAGGCTTTTCAGGAAGGTGGGGAGGAAGAGCAGTGGGAATCCCACGCCCCTGAGACCAGAGGGAAAGTCTGGCACGAGGAAGACTTTCTCTTGGTAGAGGAGGATCAGGATAAGGAACATCTAAACAAACTGGATATTAAGTCCATGGGACCTGCTGGGGTTGCACCCATGAGTGCTGAGGGAACTGGCTGTTTTGATGGCAAGGCCAACCTCAGTTGTCTTTGAAGGATCATGATGAGGAGAAGAGGTTCCTGAAGACTGGAAGAAAGCCAGTGTCATTTTCAGGAGGAACATGTAGAGTCAAAACAAAGCAAAATCATGTGTACAGCAAACAGAGGCACAGGGGACTGTACTTGCCTGGAGATTTTCAGAGAGTCAGTAGACTCTGCAGTTAAGTTCCTTCCACAGATTGAGGGGTGATGTTTCAGGGAACAGAAATCCTTCCCAGAATTGCTTTCAGTGAATAACCATCTTGGGCTAGAAGTGCTGTCAAGCACATGATACCAGGGTGGTTCAGCTGAGCTGGCACTACTTATCTTCCTTTCAGCCCACTGCTGTGTTGGGTTCTCTCTTCTTGCCTTGATCAGTGCTGAAAAATAAACCCATCTTGGAGTGTTCTTCAGTTCAGTTTGATAATCTAGAACTTTTGTTGGTGTTATCATAAATCCATATTCTCTTGGCATCCTGTTCTTAAGAGTTCTTGCAATGTTTTAGAGGGGTTTTTCTTTCTTTTCTTTCTCTTTCCAGTGATTGAAGGTGTTCCTGCTCCTGCCTGTCTGCTGCCTCTGCTGGAAGCTGCAGTGTCCTTACCTCTCAGTTATTTCTGGCTGTTGAGTGCTTTACCTGAAAATGCCAGTGAAAGTGGCTTTTTGACTAACACTTTGGCCTGGGAATTGGCACTTTGTGTTTCCTTCTAATGTTTGTTACTGGAATAAGAGCAGAGATGAGGTTAACATGAATAAATACATACTAAGCTACCACACTGGTTATGCCATGAATGAATCAGTTCTTTCTAATTAAGAAGCACAGTCTCTGGTTCTCTTTTTACCAACAGGTTCTGAAACAGCTTTTGTCAGGCAATTTTCACCTCCATCTAATGATATTCTCTCTACACAGGAGTTGCATGAAATGTTTTTCTCTGTTCAGAATACCATTGAGGCATTATTGTCATAATGCCTCAAAAGCAGAAATTGGAATCATGGAGCGGTTTGTGTTGGAAGGGACCCTAAAGCTCCTCCAGTTCCAACCCCCTGCCACAGGGGCAACACCTTTTTGTGACAGTATCTGCAAAAACCACAGGGAAAAGGCTTTTTCCCTTTGTACCTTGACATACCACTCCAGTTTATTCCCTGGAGTACTGGGAAGGGATTTGTCCTTGTCCTGTGTTTTGGTGTGTCTCTGAACCTACAGCAGAGCATCCCTAAGTTCCTGGTAGACATCCTAGGGCAGGGATTTTAGCCCAAGAGTTGAAGGGCATATGGTTTGAGGAAGGGCCACCATTAGAAAAAGGAGTGTTGCAGATGCAGTACATGATGGTGCGGAATCAGTGCTTGGCCTTTGGGCAGTTGCATTTTATATTGTATTTGCAAATACTGTATTTTCTCTGCAGGGTAATTCATAATGAAAGGCTTTTACAGCCTTAAAATATATTATTTTCTTAGCACTCTGTAGTGCTGTATGAAAAGAGTTCAGCATAGTCATGGTACACTTCTTTATAGAAATTCCTGTATCTTGTAACTGATAATACAGAGTAGAGTTGGCTTTTGTGCCATAGACAATCTCTGACTATCATCTGTGGAGTAAAAGAACCTCAAAACTTAAGTAGAATAAAGCTTGAAAGAATTAATTCTTTAAAAAGAAAGTAGTAAGTTTACATGGGTAGACAGCCAAGGCAGATCTGGTGTGTGGTTTGCTTATAGACTAAGGCTTCTCAACTCTTACACTGACATATTTTGGTTAATTTCAGAAGCTTTATGAGAATATAGTCTATCAGGAGCTTTCATTATATCCCGACTGCTTTTAATCAGTCTTTTTGAAGACCAGATGGTTGAGTCTGGCATTGGAGCCACTCTGATGTTGGAATAGGCACTCCAAGGAATAGCACAGTTTGCTTTGTTGTTCCTGTGGTTTATGCTTTGTTATGAAATTTCTCTTCCTAAAGATGGTACATTCTGCTTTTGGCTCTTCTCACTCACTGATTGCTCTGTTTTCTGAATTTACATTAGTAATAGTTGTTCTGGTGTCCTTCCATAGAAGCAATAGCATGGAGCAGCCCAGAACCCCTCTGGGGGCTGCACCCCCAGAGCGTGAGCAGTGGGTTGAGGGATGGGATCCTGCCCCTCTGCTGTGCTCTGGGGTAACAGCACAAGAGGGACGTGGAGCTGCTGGAGCAAGGCCAGAGGAGGCCACGGAGCTGCTGCGAGGGCTAGGCTGGGTCAGCCTGGAGAAGGCTCCTGAAGGGGAGACCTCAGAGCAGCTCCAGTGCCTAAAGGGGCTCCAGGAAACCTGGAGAGGGGCTTTGGACAAGGGATGGAGGGACAGGACAAGGGGAATGGCTTTAACCTGCCAGAAGGGAGATTGAGATGAGCTCTGAGGCAGAAGCTCTTCCCTGGGAGGGTGCTGAGGCGCTGGCACAGGGTGCCCAGAGAAGCTGTGGCTGCCCCATCCCTGGCAGTGTTCAAGGCCAGGTTGGACACAGGGGCTTGGAGCAACCTGCTCTAGTGGAAGGTGTCCCTGCCTGTGGCAGGGGATTGGAACTGGAGGAGCTTTAAGGTCCCTTCCAACCCAAATCAGTCTGTGAGTCTATGATCTTATATATTTTGGTCTTTTAGCTCTTTAATACAGCTTTCAAATAGTCTTGCATTCCAAGGTGTGTGTGTGGGAAATTTGGAAGATTTTGAGGTACTTTGCTGTAGTCTGAAGAGATGCTCGTGTAATATGTTGAGTTGGGACAGGGAGAGGTCTATAGATCCTTATCCTCTAGGTAGAGAGCAGGACTTGAGGCTTATCTCTGAACAGTTCATATTTCTGTAGTTCATCTTGTTTCAGATTCTTTTTAGCTTTACAGCACAAGAGCAGGAGATTCAAACTGAACCTGGACCTGTATTCCACAAAATACATCTTTAAGTATTTAAAAAGTATTTAACTCCCAAAGCATTAGCATTGGAAATGAGGGCAAATACTTTAAAATGCCAGTGTAGGGTGCACTGATCTGCTGCAATTTCTCTCTTTGGAAGACTTGCACACTTCAAACATGATGTATTTTCTTGTATTGCTCTAGGAATAAAATGTGAGTCTTGTCTTTGGGACTAGATCGCATCAATTGTAGCTGCATCTTAAACCTGGTGCCATGTTTTGGTTCTTGGACTCTTAATCTTTGGGATAGTCTCATATCTGAATACTTTTTCCCCTTAGGTGAGTGGAATCAAGAGTCTCTATGAGTCTGAACTGGCTGATGCTCGAAGAGTTCTGGATGAAACTGCCAAAGAGAGGGCCAGACTACAGATTGAAATAGGAAAACTGAGAGCAGAACTTGAGGAGTTCAATAAAAGGTAAGGAAAATCTTCCATGATGCAAGATGATAATTTTTTGAATTGGAATGATTTTGCAGTGGGAATGGTTCTATTGGTGCTTCCTAAAACCTTTTGGATGCATTGCAGATCAGTGAGAAGATAGAGGCTTGTTCCTCAGCTTGTTGTACAGCTCATCAGGGCAGATAATCTGACCAGTATATTCACAAATGTATTTGTAGAAACAAAATATACTCTGAGCTGGGCAATTCAGACATCTAGAGGCAGAAAAGATTAGTTGTGCCTGGTTCTGTCCTCTTGTACCTCTGGTTATGTGACCATGCACATGGGCAGCTGCTTAGTAAACCAGCTTGAGAAACTGACTAGACTAAAACTGATCCATCTAAGGAAGGTTACCTTGCAAACATTATCAGTTTTATAATCTGCTTCACTGGATGGACTCATGGCAGGAATGAAGGAAAAGGGTGGCCTTAAGGAATTTGGGAATATGGAAGCAGTGTTGCCTTGAAAACATATGAAGCTAAAATGTAAGTGTGCTGGAAGATCTTGTACCAACTATACTTTGAGTCAAACTGAACAGCAGGGTTTTAAAGAGAACTGGCCTAATAAACTGGCTGCTGAAGCCAACTGTAATCCATTATTTCCATTCCCACCAGGAAGTTTTCATAACCAAATACTATTCAGCAGTCGAAACTTCATATTTTAAAATTAATATATGTAGTGGCAAGACTCTTACTTGCTTCTGACTGAATTTTGGTACCTATTTTAGTAGAGAAGATTTGAGAATTGCAGATCTTTCCTGAGCCTGCCGGCATGCACATCACCTGTATATGAACACTGTTGGATATAAAATTGGTTTTAATCCAGTAGTGCCAGTACAGTCCTACTATAAGTCTCCCATCTCCCTTCATTTGCATCTAAATAGTTATAAAAGGACTCATAATCATAGACTGGTCTATGATTATATGATACTATGATTCCAGATCTGATTGTCTGCAACACATGTACAGTGAGTTGTTTTACTGCATAACAGATGTGATGCAGGGGCCTGTGTCTGGAGAGTCTGTTTTGAAGACTTTCTGATTGCTGCTGAATAGCTGCTTTTAAGTAGAAGTCATGTTTTGTCTATATATTTCCTTCAAGCTGCTGAGCTTGAAGACACTGCCCATATGTCACAGAACAGGATTCACACAAACAGATTGGACTAATGATTAAAAAAGAGTTGGTTACAGTGAAATGAAAACAAATTCGGAGATTACAGCAAGGAAAGTGAATTCTAAGGTGGTTTAAGAGAAAAAGACAAGAAGCCATTCCCTGCATTCTTAGTGGTGTGAGATTAGAGTGAGTTTAAACTGCAGCAAGGGAAGATTGCTTCACAGAAAACCCCATTTTTTTAATAACATAATGACATACACTTAGAGAAGCTGCAGAAAGTCAGTGTGTTAGAGGAAAAGGTAGGCAAGTAATTGGTGTGCAGGAGGAAGATGACCTTAATAGTTTCTGTGAGTTGGACATAACAGCTCAAATAATGATATTTAAAGTGACCAGAGCTGCTTTGCTCATAACAAATGCTGCTGAGAAATGCTGGTTTATTCCTGTGACCACATTTCCACAGTGAATTACTTTACTACTTTAGGTGGGAATACATCTTGAGGAATGGGCTTGGCCACATCAAGTACAAAACACTGGGGGATGCTCACGTGCCTCTGTGGGAGGTGCTCTGCTTCTCGGGGGTTGTAGTCCAAAGTGATAGATGTCAGCAGCTAAATGTGCTGTGCAGCAGTGTGATGACAAAATACTCCACGCCTTGTGTGTGAAGCTGCTTCATTGTCATCTTTTAGCTGGTAGAGTTGCTTTCCTGTTTTATTCTTGCCTGCCCATGACATTCTTTAGTAGGCAATGCAGTTACAACACATTGGTACAAGCTGTGAGTTTTAAGAGGTGTTTACTATTGCTTTCATTAGCTACATTTGCAGGTTACTGTAGGAGCCATGTCATGGTACACTTATCCTAATAAAATTTGTATCATAACAAAATACCTGTAGTAGTAACCAAGACATGCTCCAGACACATGTGCACCCACTTAATAAATGTAATAAACTTTTGGTTTTAGCTACAAGAAGAAAGATGCAGATTTGTCTGTGGCTCAGGGTCGCATTAAGGATCTTGAAGTACTGTTCCATAGAAGTGAAGCAGAACTTAACACTGTCCTGAATGAGAAACGCAGTCTGGAGGCAGAGGTGGCTGATTTGAGAGCCCAGCTTGCTAAGGTATGGCTGTGACTGCTTCCATGTCACACATGGTGTTCTTTGCAGTTCATTTATAGTCTGAACATAATTGATCCATCTCTCTTACTGCTGAACTCTCGCCTGCCCCTCTTGGATATAAAACTAAATAGGAAGAAACGTCTAAAACAACCAGAGCAACATTGTGGTTTTGAAATGTTACTTGTCAAAAGCTTTTATTTAAAACTTTCTGGTGGGTGTTTGTATAATCATGAGATAGCAGCTATTAAATGTTGTCCTTAGTAATGTCCTGCATAATTCAAACTTAGGTTGGAGTACCCAGTAGGACTATGCTAGCAAGAAGAATATACAGAATCTTGTGCTTTAGGAATTAATAATACTCTGCTCCATTATCATACTGCATTGAAATAATCCTATATTTTAAATAACTGGTCTACAAACATGAAAGCTTGTTTAAATATTCCTAAGCATGCACACACTTTCTTTTGTTGTGTGTTTTGTTTTGTTTGGGGGTTTGTTGTTGGGATTTTTGTTTGCTTTAAGTGGCTTATCATTAGATTTGTGAATAATTGGTCCAGAGATGTCAAATAAAGACCATAAAGAGAATATGGACCAAGAACAGGGGTCTAGACAAAATTAGATCTTTACCTTTAAAATTGTTGCCTAGGCTGAAGATGGTCACGCTGTGGCTAAGAAGCAGTTGGAGAAGGAGACCCTCATGCGTGTGGACCTGGAGAATCGTTGCCAGAGCTTGCAAGAGGATCTGGATTTCAGGAAGAATGTGTTTGAGGAGGTATTGTCAACCTAATAAACTCATCACAGTCTGAAATTTAGGCAGCTTTTACTCAAATTGACTGTAAGCAGTTACCAACTAGTCCAGGTAGGGAAAATCAGTATTACCCTTGCTATGAATGGATGGAGTAATTAAATAGTCAAAGGTTTTGCCAGAGTTACATGGTAAATCAGTGACAGACTTGAGTGACAGGGGTATTGTTCCATGGGCATGTGAGCTTATGTAGCAGCTGACTGCTCTGGGAAGGAAAGGGAATGTCTTGTTCCCTCGCTCTGGACCTCTTTGCATGGCCCTGCTCCTTATTTGCACCAGCTCTAATGAGTAGAGGTCATCCAGTATATAGAATGAGACAGAAGATCTGCATGTGCTTAAAAGTGAAATTTGAAGATGCAGATTTTTCTCTATAATGATTATTTTTTTCAATTTGAAGGGGTTGATTTTTATCTGACTCCTTTGTAGGGATGTATATTGAGAAGGAAAGGTTTCATAGTGCAGCAGGTGGAATCTCTTTGCTATGTAAAAAATCGTGGTCTCTCCTCCCTCATTCCCCCCATTTTGGCTTCTGTAGCATAAACCAGCTCCTTACTTAAACTGCGTATGGATGTTTTTAAACCTGTTTTTAAGTTGGGTCCCTTAAGAATTATATCCTGCTAAATGAGAACTGTAACTTGCATCTGTTAGTATGTGGAGCAATGCTTGGGCTTAAATGCCTTTAGTTCTGTAGCTCCTATATACTAATTAGTAATGAAATAGTTAATTGTTGTCTGAATGTAACTGCTTGTGCTGTTTACCCTAATGTGGTAATTTGTCTCCCTCGTGTGTAGGAAATAAGGGAAACAAGAAAACGTCATGAACATCGCTTGGTTGAGGTGGACACGAGTCGCCAACAGGAGTATGAATCCAAAATGACTCAGGCCCTGGAAGACCTGCGAAATCAACATGATGAACAAGTGAAACTGTACAAAATGGAGCTTGAGCAGACCTATCAGGCCAAGGTAACTCCTGCTACCTTCAGTCTAACAGGATATCTAGTTGCTGAGAGAAAACCATTTCCATCAGCCCTACTGTCTTTAAGGAGACAAGTCATTATCATCGGAAGAAGCTTTGTCCCATTGTTCTAATGCCTCCTTCTGGTGCTTGTGCACAGATGCGTTTTCAGGGGGGTAATAGCCAGGAATAGCTTTAGCCAAGAAAGGCCTCTTTGTGAGATGAAGCGTGGAAGTGTTGGTCACTGCAGAGGACACAGTGGGAATAGTGGGTGTCATGCAATGGCCAATGAGACAATGTTTCACCAAGCTCAGTCCCTGGCCATCCAGGGAGCTCTTAGACCAGGACCTTGGGTGGCCTTTGCTCTGACCCAGCGTGATTGTTCTTAAGACAAATAGGCAGAGCGAGATCCCATGAACCTCAGGTTTTGGAAACTATAATGTTACTTGCTTAATGGAAGGGCCAACAGCCTATTTTCTAATAGTATAAGCAAATCCTATAGGAAGAGGATTGAAGTAGATTTTCCTGGTGCTTAAGGCTTTTCCTTACTGGTATGCAATTCTTACCATAAACTTAGCAGATGTCCATTTAAATTCTTTAAGATTAAAAGGCTTCTGGGTTTTTTTTACCAAAAGGATATTTGCAAGTTATCTAAATCAAGGCAAGTGACTTGTCTAAACCTTGCCTTCCAGCTGGAGAATGCCAAACTGTCCTCTGACCAAAATGACAAAGCTGCTGGTGCAGCTCGAGAGGAGTTGAAGGAGGCTCGCATGAGAATAGAAACTCTCAGTTACCAGCTTTCTGGCCTTCAAAAACAGGTAAGGGGACTAAAATTGCTTTCTTCTCTATTACAGAGCATTGTGTTGTTTGGATATATGAACTAATGTCACTTAATACTTCCCAAATTTTACAGAGCAAAATCATAGAACCATAGAATGATTTGGGTTGGAAAGGACCTTAAGATCATGCAGTTCCAACCCCTTGCCATGGGCAGGGATGCCTCACACAGAGGTTGCCCAGGGCTCTGTCCGGCCTGGTCTTGAACACTACCAGGGATGGAGCATTCACCACTTCTTTGGCCAACCTGTGCCAGCATCTCTCCACCCTCACAGTGAAGAACTTCTTTCTTATATCCTACCTGAGCTTCCCCTGTTCTAGTTTGAACCCATCATCCCTTGTCCTGTTGCTACAGTCCCTGATGAAGGTCCCTCTCCAGCATCCTTGTAGCCCCCTTCAGACACTGGAGCTGCTCTGAGGTCTCCAACAGCTTCTCTTCTCCAGGCTCAACAGCCCCAACTTTCATATGGGAGGTGCTCCAACCCCTGATCATCCTCGTGGCCTCCTATGCACTTGCTTCAACAGCTCCATGTCCCTCTTACATTGAGGGCATCAGAACTGCACCCAGTGCTGCAAGTGGGGTCTCACTTTACGTTCATTTGGGAGGGAGTTGAATTTTTACCTCACTTCCTGTACGTACATAGATGCCAAGTGGGATTTTCTTTGCTGTCTTCCCAGGCCAGTGCAGCAGAAGATCGTATTCGTGAACTGGAGGAAATGATGGCTGGCGAGCGGGAGAAGTTTAGGAAGATGCTAGATGCAAAGGAGAGAGAAATGACAGACATGAGGGACCAGATGCAGCAGCAGCTCACAGAGTACCAGGAACTGCTTGATGTTAAATTAGCACTGGACATGGAGATCAGCGCTTACCGCAAACTCCTGGAAGGAGAAGAGGAAAGGCATGTACAGATTCCACGTTCTTTTCTTAGGACTAACAGAAGTTACTTTCATTTCTTATGCTTTTTTTTTTACCATTTCAGTAGGAATGCCCAGCTTTGGTTTCACTGAAGTCATATTTGCTTCACACTACAATGTGTTGCATGGAGCACTTACATAAAACACATGCAGGTGTTCTCCTCTGAACACTGTATTTTGGTTTTTCTAATGGTCTCAGAGTACAGTGCAATATATCATTCTATGCTTGACATTCACAGAAGCACAGGATGGTTTGGGTTTTATGTCAGGTTAAAGCCATTCCCCCTTGTCCTGTCCCTACAGGCCTTTGTCCAAAGCCCCTCTCCAGGTTTCTTGGTGCCCCTTTAGGCACTGGAGCTGCTAAGGTCTCCCTTCAGGAGCCTTCTCTTCTCCAGGCTGAACCAGCCCAGCTCCCTCAAAAGCAGAGGAGACATTCATCTTCTCTTTTTATTTAAGTGCTTATACTTCTAAGTTTTTAAATCATGTGGCCCAAGAATAGTGTGTTTTGTAGTAGATATACTGGAGGGGAGGGTTAGGTGATCTGTCTTGCTCCCATTAGCACTGCTTTCCGTGGCACATTATCATGCTGCCAGGCAGTTTCTCAAGGATGGATAACCACCTCCTGCCCGTAGCCCGCTCCTTATATTCAGCCCTCCTGACACATAAGTGAGGCTGCTTTCAGCCTTGGGGCATATTACAGTCTGGTTCCTGAGTATATTGTGGCATTCTTGCTTTGTGTGCAGTCCCCTGCGTGACTTAATTAGAATTCTTGCTTCTTGTGTTAAGGTTGAAGCTCTCTCCAAGTCCCTCCTCCCGTGTGACAGTCTCTCGGGCTACCTCCAGCAGCAGCAGTAGCAGCACTTCACTTGTTCGCTCTTCCCGAGGCAAGAGAAAACGGATTGAAGCAGAGGAGCTTTCAGGCAGTGGAACCAGTGGGATTGGCACTGGAAGCATCAGTGGCAGTAGCAGCAGCAGTAGCTTCCAGATGTCCCAGCAAGCTTCAGCTACAGGAAGTATCAGCATAGAAGAGATAGACCTGGAGGGCAAATATGTTCAACTGAAGAACAACTCAGAGAAGGTGAGTGTCAGCAAAACTCCCAGAGACCAAGGAGGAGCTGAATTGTCACAGCCTTTCGTGGCACAAGTAGGTGGAGTCATTTGGAGAGCAGGAGCAGCATCCCAAGGTGCAGCATCCTGCAGTAATTAACAGGGGCAGGAGTCAAAGTTGAACCTTACAACGTACTACTCACATGTGTGGTGTTTGCTGCAGGAAAAGAACATAGTTCTTGTCCCAAATGTCCCTGTGCTGGTACCTTGCTCATGTGAACAGCCTTGCTGGCTCTAGCAGAATGTTTTTGTCTGAAATTTGTGTCTTAAATTTTGCTGAATGACCTTATGGAATTTACGCTTTAGATTATTAAAGGGTATAGAAAATACTTTCAAGTTAGAATGCAGATGTTTAGCAACCATGTAAATTTATATCCACATTATTTTAATAACAGAGAGACCTAGAGAAAGCTCTGATGCCTCTTTGCTTTGTTTTGCTCACCTTAAATAACCTTATGACTCTCTCCATTAGGATCAGTCTTTGGGTAACTGGCGACTGAAAAGACAAATTGGAGATGGAGAAGAAATTGCCTACAAGTTTACTCCTAAGTATATCCTCAGAGCTGGGCAGACTGTAACAGTAAGTTCTGCTTACAGTATGTCAACAACATACTCCTTCTATTGATACTGTGGCAGTTGTAAAACGTTTGGTACAGCCTGGTTTGATGTGTAACTTAGGTTTCATGGATCTCACCTTAGAGGAGCAGGATTTCAGTTGTAAAAATGAAGAACAGATATTTCTATATGAACACTTCACTATTTAAGACCACTTTGGGCACAAGAGAAAGTTGAAGAAAAAGGTGTTTTAGGGTGGGGGGGTGTGTTGGTTTTCAGACACCTTTGCCCAGGTTTGGAACGTGAACCCTTCTCAACCTCGTAATGAAACAGAACATTTCAGAGCATTCCTTCAGTCTTGTAAACTTGGGTTAAGACTCTATGTTCTCAGCCTTAACTGTAGTAGAACAGCTGCTTTTCTATGGTGTTGTATCTTGTTTGCATAATATGTTGCATATTATTGCAACAGATGCAATTTCAGAGGGGAAAAAAATGGCTTTCTTTGAATCAATTCCAGCTATTTCTGTATGTATCTTACTCGGATACATATAACAGATGAAATGCCTACACTAGAAGCTGCAGTTTGCCTTGGCTCCATGCGGTGCACTCATTGAGACAGGGGGAGGAGAAACTTTTATGTTTAGAAAAGGATTGATATTAAGAGAGTTGTTTTTTCTTCCTTTTTTTTTTCCTTATGGCCACTGTTACCTTTTGTTGTAGACAGAATAATATCTTACTACAAGTAATGGTGTAAAACTGCCATTGGAATTCAGAAACAAAACCGGCATGAAGAGAAGTAGTAGGAGAATTAGGGGGTTCTCTATAGAGAAAACTAAAATGTGCATCAACAGCTAATTACAGAATGTCTTTCCCACTAGATTTGGGGTGCAGATGCAGGAGTATCCCATAGCCCCCCTTCTGTTCTCGTGTGGAAGAATCAAGGCAGCTGGGGCACCGGAGGAAATATCCGCACGTACCTTGTCAACTCCGAAGGAGAGGTAGGAAAAAGCTGTAGGAAAGGGCTGGGTTGGCTCCCAGAGCCCTCCATTTGGAGGGCATTGGGGGATGACAATGCCAAAATCCTGATTTTTAAGGTCTCCCTTCCTGTCTTCTAAAATAAGTTCCTAACACTGAAATGATTATATACCTCTATGTATCTCGGAAGACTTCTGGGTAATGTTTAATGACTGAAATCATCATCCTGAATGCAGCCATGGACTCTTCCCTGTGTTAGCAAAACCCCCTGCTAGGAGAGAGGTTGTTTGGAATTTGAGGGTGTATTTTCAGAAGAGACAAAGTTACTGCTGGCAATTGAAAGGGACATTTTATAGTACCTACGATATTTAGGGGTGCAATGTAAATATGAGTGTAGGAAGATAGCTGGCCTTTCAACGCTGAAAGTCCGTCAGAACATTCCATTTGGCAAAGGTTCCTGTGTATTCTGCATTGTACTGCATCTGCCCACAGCTGATTTATTTTAAAGCCATCCCTGCAGAAGACTCCTGCAAGGAGAATGGTGCTTTGGCTGTTACTCATAAATGTGCCATTATCCCATTGACCTGAGAGAAATAGGAAAGTGAAAAAGACCAACAGTTGTATTGGTTTTCCTGCTGCCTTTCCTGCTGGCAGTGCTGTGGGAGCACTTTGTGCAGGATCAGCAGCACAGGGCAAGGGAGGAGGGGAAGGTAAGTTGAACAAATAGAGAAGCTAACTGGCTTAGTATTCAGATAGAAGTGGTTAAGTTAGTAGAATCATAGACTCACAGACTGGATTGGGTTGGAAGGAACCTTAAGGCTCATCCAGTTCCAACCCCCAGTTTGCTCCAAGCCCCTGTGTCCAACCTGGCCTTGAGCACTGCCAGGGATGGGGCAGCCACAGCTTCTCTGGGCACCCTGTGCCAGCGCCTCAGCACCCTCCCAGGGAAGAGCTTCTGCCTCAGAGCTCATCTCAGTCTCCCCTCTGGCAGGTTAAAGCCATTCCCCTTGTCCTGTCCCTACAGGCCCTTGTCCAAAGCCCCTCTCCAGGTTTCCTGGAGCCCCTTTAGGCACTGGAGCTGCTCTAAGGTGTCCCCTTGAGGAGCCTTCTCTTCTCCAGCTGCCCCAGCCCAGCTCTCTCAGCCTGGCTCCAGAGCAGAGCTGCTCCAGCCCTCGCAGCAGCTCCGTGGCCTCCTCTGGCCTTGCTCCAGCAGCTCCACATCCCTCTTGTGCTGTTCCCCAGAGCTGGATCAGGGCTGCAGGGGGGGTCTCCCCAGACTGTAGCAGAGGGGCAGGATCCCCTCCCTGAGCTGCTGCTCATGCTCTGGGGGTACAGCCCAGCATACGGGGGGACTCTGGGCTCAAGTGGAACCTGAAGGCGGGGCACGGGGAGCTTCTCCTCACCCAACACCCTCAAGTCCTCAGGGATGCTCCATACAGTCTCCCTGAGCCTGTGTTTGTGCTGGCGATTGCCCTGACCCAGGGAAGCTCCAGCGTATCCGAAAACGTTTCCAATCCATATCCATTCTTACTGTGGTTACCTGCAGTGTCCCTGCTTAGAAGTGTATTTATGGTGACTTTCTCCACAAGTAGGATTTTGCACCAATGGTTTCACGACTGTGATTATAAAGAGTGGTTTCTTACTACTAAGAAGTGTTAAAAATAATATAGTAAGACAGGAAACTGCCTTGGGTTTTGGAATTGTTTTTAATGCCTAGCTTGGAAGACCATCCCAATAATTGATATATGCAATTGATACTGAATATTTAGTAAAAATTAGGAAGATTCTTAATGCTGTGTAATCATACTGAGAAACTTTAGTTTCTCAGGTTATGGTCTGTCTGACAGCTCCTAGCTGGGTCTGCTAGACCTGGATCTCCAATCCCAAAGTAATGAAAGAAAGTTCCTGAAGCCAAATGACACTACCATGCCTTGTAGTGGATAAAAATGGGAATGCTGTGGTTTGCAGGGTATTACCAGTATTTGCTTGCATGGCTAACATTAAATCTAGGGCAAGTTGCTTTAGGCCATCCAAAATTTAATAGGGGTATTATACTATGATGGGATAGCAAAAGCTTGAGGTAGCTATAGACTACTGCCATCTCCTCATCTGTCTTTTTGTCTAGGAAGTTGCAGTGAGAAGTGTCATTAAATCAGTAGTTGTGCGAGAGAACGAAGAGGAAGAGGATGAAGCAGAGTTTGGAGAGGAAGACCTTTTCAACCAACAGGTAATAAGATGCAGACCAGGTATTTAACTTCTGCTTCATTTGCTGGATTAATCAGGCATAAGATTTAGTAAGGGACCTTTAAACTTGATCTTTCTGGTCGATTCTTCCAATGGATGCTTGCAGAGGACAAACTTGGAATGCCTTGCAGCATTGCTACAGTGTACACAGAGTATAACTTGTGTGACTGCTCCAGGAGCTGCCACTAGAGCTGTACAATAGTACAGTTCCTGTTGCTGTAAGCTTCAGCTTACTGGTATATTTTTGATAGCAGATATCTGCTACGTCTGAAATGAACTTGATTTTCTTAATAATACATTAGGTTTTCATAAGCCTTAGGTAAGTACTGTGAAATACCTGACCAACAGTTGGCAGAGTGAAAAGGAGAAAGATAACTTCATACAGGTGATATCAGACAGTACTTTAAGTTTATTTCAATCTCAAGCAATCTGTTCTCCTGATCAGCGGCCATGAGTAGCTCCTTTCACAAAGAATTCATTCTATGCAGGTTGGAGGTTGACTTCTGAAAGCTTTTTTTCTTGCTCTCCAGGGGTGTTCAAGCAGTGTAATTGTAGTATAAAGCAACCGAAACAACTTTGGGTTTTACCCAAAGAAGCAGCTGTGCAGCATAGAGCTCTCTCCAACAGAAACATCCTTTGAAATAAAGGAAGGAGCTTGCTCTAAAGCTAATGCCATCTCGACTGTCATTTGTCATCAGTATCAATGTTGAAAGGATGGAGATTAACCAGCAAACCACGACGAGAGCAGCAGTGTCTTAAGCCTGGCAGTAGGCTGTGATGTCCGTGGTGCTTTCTCTAGAGTTGTGATATTACTTCAATACAACTAAACTAAATAAAAAAACGCTTTGAACAACTGAGCTGATAACCAAAGTCCAGGCTTACAGAATGAAAAGCCAAAAAGAATTGAGTTCAACTTTGTGTGTCTTATTTTAGGGGGATCCCAGAACAACCTCCAGAGGATGCGCTGTGATGTGAAGAAAGAAACAAAGAAAACTACTATTTGCTTCTTTTCCCCATTTATTTCTTTTTATTTTGGCTAATTTTTTTCCCTCCAGAGCCACTGAAAACTATTTTTATATGCATCATCTGATTTCTTTGAAGTTTACTCTTGGTACATTTTTATAAAAAGAAAACACAAAAAAAAAACCCCTTTCCTGAACCAAACTGCCAGAATTTTTAATAGATTCTTTTTCCTCCCTCTTTGTTGAAACACTATAGTGGAATGGTTTTCCCCCATCCAGACTTTAAAGTCTTCTGTACGAACCTGCAGCAGAAATGGGATGAGACTCCTGGAGTGTGTGGTAAATCTGTAATTGCATATATAGCCAGGAACTTCCAAAAGGAAGTTTAGGAAAGCATGTTCACCTGCAGGGCCCCAGGAGAGATTCCCACAATGTTACTATCATTGCTTAAATCTTGGAGGAATCTTGCCTGGTATCCTCAGCAGTGCCCAGCTTAGGAAAATGAGACCCAAAGTTCATTTAAAAGTGTGACTCCAGGGAAGGAACCAAAGGGAAGTGCTGGAGACTTGGGACCAGGACATCTTGTCCTACCCCAGGGTTTGACACTGGTAAAAACATCTGAGTGTCAACACCTTTAGCTCCATATCATTATTTCAGAAGATGGAGGATGAAGGCTTCTGCTAACTGAATATACACTACACCTTAAGGTGTGGAAGTGTCAAACCCAGAGTTTTAACTGTTTTATTTTCAGGGGATTTTGACATTGTCACCAATGAGACCTTGTTAAATCATGGATGCAAGTTGTGATGTGCAGTAGTTATTATGCATCATGATTTAAAACTTTTGACATATTCAGCATTCAGCAGAATGATGACAATTTTAGATGTTGAAAATATTTTTACTTTTGGCAATGATAAATATTAGGGATTTTAAAGATTATCCTGCATAAATGTTCACTTTTTTAATCGGAGCTGGATGCAGCTTGTCCATACTTGCAGTCAAAGGGGCATTGTCAGCTATCTTTAGGAGCAGAATAGTATAGAGATAGTTTAATGACATCTTTAAGAAGTTAAGAGGAACTGCTGGTTAGGATGTTAGCATTGCTTTGAGGTGTTCAAATGCTCAAAGTCAAGTCTAACAGTGAGTGAAGGGACAATAATGCTTTTTACTGAAAATGCTTTATGTGAGTAGCAGATGGTTTTTGGTTCAGGATGATGCATTTTGTGTCTGACAGTGTCCCTTTGAATTAAGGTTTCTTCTGCTGCATTTCTCTGAGAACTCTTTGGCTCCCATCAGGGTTAGTATTCGTGCAGTAGCACATCTTTAAGCACTTGGAAAAGTCCTTGACTGCTCCAAAGAATGTATTTGCTACTGTATAAGCAAATGTTTTTTTTTTCCACTAGTTATTAGTTTTGGATACAAAATTTGGATACCAGTTGATGCCAGCATAGATTCCTGTTTTTACCTGCATTCTTGAACTCTGATCTTGTCCTTCAAGTAGTTTAGATTCATCAAACAAGCTACAAGGTTTGGATGTTTTCGGTGGCTTTTGGACATTATGTTCTCTGAACATTATTGTGACTGACAGATATAACCTAGAAAGTCAGTTTAGTGGCTTTGACTGATGGCTTTGTAATGCAAGCAGGGTGGGAACAAAAGGGGGGGGGTTAAGCTTATGGATTTATTTTGCCATTTAAAAATAAATCAAAGATGCTACTTTCTCTATTTGAGTGGGATGACTGAAGTACAGAAATTAATGGATATTTAGAATTCCATTGCAAACCATTATCAGAGGCTCCATTACAGAAAAGCAGTATGAAGGTTTGGCTGTTTGGGCTAATGGGATAACTCCATTGATGTACTTGGCTGGTTTCCTAATGTAATTTTCCCACTCTGCTTGAGTAGAAGGTTAAATATGTAGTAAATCACGTCTCTGTCAAATGTATTTAGTGGAATTATGTTTCTCAGACATACTGTGATCAATTACCTTTTCTAAATTTGGTGTTAGACAAATGAATGCAATCAATGTTAAAGGATTTTTGCAATGCACCTTCCAACCACTGGACAGCATTTCCTTTTCTGACCCACAGCTTCTAGAACATACTTAAATGATGGTTGAGGGCTTTTTGCCTTCTTTGTTTTTTTCCTCCTAAAGATCTGTATTTATGTGGGTTTTTTTACATTGGCCAGTTTTCAGATTGCTTATTCTGCTTTAAGATTGTCCTGTAAACTGTTCTGTGATCTTTAAATACTAATGCAGTGAGTATGTAGTTAATTTGTTGGGTTTTTTCCTGTGATTTTTTTTTTGTTCTTTTCTCCTGTAAAAAATGGGCTGGGAAAGGCAGCTTGAATGAGGAAAAACCTCTTTGCTACCTGAGCCATAGTTTTCTTAACAGCTACTGTATGGGGAATGTGTTGTCTTGCAGCCTTAAGGACTGGTGCTTGCAGATCTTGTAATGAGCCCTGTGCCCTTCAGGAACAGTCTGCAGGCTACTGAAAATATGATCCATAGTTCCAAGCTGTAAATTACAAGACATAGAAAAACTACTGTATTCCATGGACTTTCTCTGTTGCATGTGTATCTTCTCTGGGTGCCATCCTTTCCTCTTGCTTTTGATGCTGAGCTTCAGTATAACAGCACTATCCCTTTGGAGCTGGTGCTCCATACTGGGAGGTTTTTTGGCTCTGCCAAACCAAAAAGCATTGTTTTGTTGTGGGTTTGTTGTGTTTTGGGTTTTTTAATTTACTTTTTTAAGGATTTGCTTTTCAGGATAACAAAAGCTTTTTGTTCAGATAAAATCCAGTGCCCCCTTGCCCTACTTCTTTAATCGTACATGTAAAGCACTCCTGAAGTTGGAGCCTAGTCAGCGTTTCTACTCCTGGTGCAGAGCTTGGAGGAGAAGGATTTGACTTGTCAGGAGAAGAAGTATTTTCAGGCTTCTCTGATGAGGGACATTAACCAGTAAAGCTTTTATCAGAGTAGTTACTTGAGTGTAACTACCCATATGGATGTTCTTATTCCAAAAAACAATAAGCAAACAACTTTATTCTGTTTGAAATAGTAAAATGATTCCTAAATAATTCTCAGTGGTTAAGAGGGGGAAGGAGTAACAGCATAACTGCTGCAGAATAGTTAAGCCAATCCTTTCTTTGTGTCATATAAATTCGTTTTATCATATAAAATATGATGAACACACACCACCTAATCCTAAATTGGTAAGTTGCTACTGTGTGACTTGTGGCAGAATAACTCATCCTTCTGCAGAACCATTGGGAATATGACATCTTGCAGAGTGAGAGATGGTTACAGAGAGCCTCTGACATTTCATACCCTTCCTTCTCCCTCACTTCCATGATACTTCAGCTGTTGTGTTGCAGTGATTAATTCCAAGTAACGATGTGGCTGTGATTCCTGTGTGTAGCTTTATTTCCCAGTGTGTCTACTTAGGCTACTCCAGATTTGCCCTGACAGAGCCAATAGTTTACACTGATGCATTGATTACTCATCTGCAGTGCTATTTTGCCAGTAGATGGGAATTGGCTGGCAGAGTTTGTGTTTGTAGCAGGAACCAAGTCTCAGGAAGAAACAAACATCTGCTTCCCATGACCTGTAATGTCAAAGCCAGATGAGCTTGTTGGCAGCTCGCATTGGTCATGCCAGTTGTATTGCAGCGTGAAGCAGACTGTACTGTGAAAGGAGATCACGTTTATCCTTGAGCAACAGGACACCTCATGGTCAGTTCAGGGATTTTACTGCATTTTTTTATACACCCTTTTTTCTTTTTATGCTTCTCCTGTATAAAGGCCCTTTAACTGCAACCTTAACAGAGGATAGAAGAGGCTTGTAGAAGTCCTCTCTGCACCCCAGAACATTTGAGGACGCTTCTTCTGTGTGCATCAGAAAGATTTTGATGCTCTATGTTTTCTCTCTCCTGTAGCCACTTCCTCACTTACTAAGCCATTCTATCCCTTCTGTCTGTATCTACTTTTGAAAGTCTTATCTCTGAACAAAGGCATATCCGTATTTGATACTGGATTTCATTGCCACTGTTGGGTCCAACCCCTGTGTGCGCTGGAAACAAAGCCTTGTTGTAGACCAGTGAGTGGAAGGTGAGATCACGATTGCATTTTTTTCAAAGCATTGTTTTAGACAAATTCTGTTGGAGAGTTTCTTTTCTCACTTACAATGGCCTGGGAAACAGAATTTTATTTGCCCTTCAATATGCTTTGCTTTAAACCAATTCAAAATAACTTAAAAGTGGTGGGTTTTTTTTATACAAGACCATATTTACATGCAGTTATTATTTGTAAACATAATGCCTTCCTTGAAATGCTAAGGTCTAGAGAGTGAAAAGGATGCTTAATATTCAAAGACTCGGAAACAGTGAATGGACTTGAAGTTCAGAAAAATAAAATGGGTTTGAACTTCCAAATTTCCTCCTTAGTTTTAAATGATGATTCCATGTTGATCAAAGGTAGATGTTACTGTGTATTCCAGCTACAGAGCTCACTACACTAAAATGAGAAGCAATAAGCTATTTGAAACAAGTTTAAGCCAAAATGCTATCCATCTGGGCACAAACTACAGTTCAACTGTTTTGATAACAGTGATGCCTTGTGACTTGAATTGTGATTTCTTGGTTTTTATTCTTTTGTCATGTTTTTAAACACAATCTGTATTTAGATGGCTCTTGTTCTAGGTCACCACTGGGTTTCTCTGCCTTCTGGATCAGCTGCTGCAGACGAGTTTTTGGAAGGTTCAAGTTGTTAAAAGAAGGAATTGTGAAAATGGTTGGAAATTGAAATACGAAAAGATAAACATGTTCACAGGGAACTTATGAAAGCAACATTAATGATCTAGACTTTATCATTTCAAAGTGGTTTTTTTCTTTTTAGAATATGCATGCCAAATGTCTTGTCTTTTTTCAATGATTTGTAATATACATTTTATGACTGGAAACTTTTTGTACAACACACTCAAATAAATGTTTTGCATTTTATTTGTTTCCTTTTTTCATTTAATCAACACAAAGGCCATAGTGGCTGTTTGAAATTATTCCTCCCAGGGGAGGGGATCTTCCTGTGTGTAGACAGATG